GGCACTCCTGTGCTATGTCTACACTGGGAGGTTCTTGCGTAAGAACCCTCAGAGCGTCCACACGGCTTGCCCGCTCTTGCGCAAGAAGATTTACAGTAGAGTGTGGGAAGAGAGAGCCTCTTGCGCAAGAGCTACCCTCTTTTCTAACAAGTGTAAGCCCTCTTGCGCAAGAGCTCTTGCAGAAGAGGGCAGTGTGGACGCACAGCAAGGGTTTCTTGAGCAAGAAAGCCCTTTGGCTAAAATGTCCATCAGAGCTTTCTTGCGCAAGAGAGCGTCCACACTGCCATGGATGCTCTTGCGCAAAAGCACATGGCTGTGTGGATGTGTTCTTGTGCAAGATGTTCTTGCGCATAGCCCAGGGGTTCAGCACCCACAGAAAAAGAACAGTGAGTGCTCAGCACCCACTGGAAGCCCTGCCGATCAGATGCTTATCACTTCCAGAGCCTCTCACCCACTGCGATCAGCTGTTTAGCCATGTGTAGGAAGTGCTGTCTGAGAGGTGAAGGAACAGGTGCAGGAAGAGGTGGAGCAGAGGTGGGGGTTTGAAGGAAGGAGTGTAGTGGGAACAGGGCCTGGGGTATGGGGTCTAGCATCTCCAGGAAATCATAAAGTCAGAGTCTCTGCCTGAAGGCCTTGCCTGCAAGGAAGGGTGCACCTGAAGAGAGCACAGTGGAGTAGAGAGCCTAAGGGACACAGGCTAGGAAGCAGGCTAGAGAGCAAGCAGCAAAGCTGGGGACTGAACAGACCGTTGCTGCATATAGTAGGGTCCCTGGGCTGGAACCCAGATTGTTAGCAGATCTGTGATCCGCTCCTTGCCATGGGGGAAGTGGCACCAAGAGGGCAGTGAATTGGAAGACTGTCTGGGTCACTGCAAGAGTGACAGGATCAGGGCACAGACATGAGGCCAGCCAGAGGCTCCTTGAATGGACGAGATTTTGAAGAACTTACCTCAAAAGAAGGAAATGCTGAGTGATCTGGCTGGAGGGCTAAGTCATGAGGAAGCAGAGAGAGAGGGACTGCGGACCTAGAGGGAGGTAGAGAGTCAGAGTGTAACTATGGGAAGAGGTGTCGAGCTCACAAGCTATTTTCCAGAGTGACTAGAAGGAGGCACTATCTGAGTTTAGATGGGTTTGGCCCTGTTTTGAACAGGGGGTTAGACTAGAAGATCTACTGTGGTCTCTTCCCGTCCTAATCTTCTATGAGTCTGTGATTCTGTTGGTGAGCTCAAGCCCCTCATCACACTCAGGTTGCATAAGATATAAATGAGAACAGAGTTTGGTATTAAAATAACAAACTCTTAAATACCTGCTATTCCTTTACAGAAATCCTTTGCATTTCAGTGGTTGACACTGTGTTTGACTGAGCCCCGTACAAGCTACAGCAAGGGTGGAGAACCTACAGCCCAGGGGCCAGATGCAGCCCCCGGCTTGCCTCGATCCGGCCCCTGAGGCTCGAAGTCCCCCTCCC